GGGCAGTGGTGAGGTACGGGGCATTGTCTCTCTTGGGAGCTGGGGTTCCTCCGTGCATTGCTTATGGAGTGGTCAGGAGTTGATGTGAAACTCCCTGCTTTCACTCCCAACCCCCAGAAAGGGAGTTTGGAGTCCTTCTTGGTGAATTCACACTTACAAATTTGCTTTCAGACTTAAAAGAGCCCTAAATCAATGGGACCCAACCTCATGCTCTCAAAAACTAAAAATAGGGCAATATTGAAGTTTCCTTAAAGCCTTCCCCAAGGGTCGGGTTCATCCAGGCTCCCAGGGAACCAGGGCTGTGCCACGCTGTGTTCACCACAGCACCTCCTCAGCTCGCCCAGCCCTGTCCCAGCAGCTCGCGTGGCCACCGAGCCTTCCCAAGGGCTTGCACGCCGGTGCTCCTGCTCCCAAAATCTCTCCAGCTTTGCATGACAGCGTAGCTCTGCCCCACCCGGGTCACTGGCCACAGCATCTGCCCGCTCACCTGAACTTTTGCTGAAGCAACCTGAACACCAGGAGGGCAACTTTTGCTGCCCTCCTGGTGATTAAACACCACGTACTCTAAATGGCACTTGCGTCTCTAGGTTTTGTTTTTTGGTTTTTTTTTTTTGCCTCCATATCACAGGCAATGTGTAGCCAGGGGCTGCAAGCATCTGGCCTTGGCAATGGGAGGATAAATGGGGCAGAGGGAGGGGGTGGCCACACGCCTCTTCTCATCTCATCGAGCATTAGGCTGGAGATGCCAGGTGAGCACAGGCAGCCCCGCGGCTGCTGCTTCCAGGAGCAGAATGTGAGGATGGCCAAATCCCTGCATTCAGATCCCCGGGGATCCCGCGGGGAGCAGTCCTGTGTGGTAAGGGCTGGGAAGCTCGCCTGGCAGGGCTGTTCCATACCCCCGCTCTTGTGGCCCCATGTCTCGCAGCAGAGCAGAGCTGCGGGTTGGGTCCAGCGAGCCTAGCTGGAAAAGCCAGGCATCCCAAGGAGGTCAATCCATAGACAGGGAGCAGGGATATACCCATGCAGAAGTTTATTAAAGCTGAACGCTGTCATAGAAATGCCATTTAAGAATTTATTTGCCATAAACCTAATACCCAACTGTAAAAAATGTGTAACAAAAGTTGATATCACTCCAGGAAAAATCATAATAAGGAGGATGGGAAGGGACTTTTTCTTTTTCCACCATGCAGAAGGAATGTGGATACGGTCTATAAAATTAATTTCCTCTTTCTTACTAAACAGTACCTTCTGAGCAATTCAGATAAATAGCAACATTCATTATTCTCTGCACCAAAAATAAAAAAGAGGAACTTCTATCATTTGTGTATTCCTGCAATTATCTTGAGAACCCTTTTTTGTTGACAGCCAGGGGTCAAAAGCCGGTCTTGGTTTCACCTGATCTCATTGACTTCTGCAGAGACATTCCAGATTCACGCCAACACAAGAGCCATCAGAGCCGAGCTCAGGACACACAATACTGCCATTCACATCAGGAAGACGCTCGGCTCATGGAAAATCACTTCTCTTTCTGTAGACGATATTTGCACATAAAATGGAAGAAAAGGACAATGCATGAAAATGCATTTATAGAAACAGCATTAATTTCCAATCAAAATGCTGTTCTTTGAATATAAACTGTGCCCCGATCAGTGGTTTTCTCCTGGGGAAATGAAATGGGAGACTCATATGTTTAAGTGTAAATCTAGGCGTGGGGAATGAACTTCTGGTGCTCTTCAAAATTCCTAGCTCACCCTAAAGCCTGAGTCACTGGGATCATTCAGGCCAGTGAATTTTACCTGCCTACCACCTTCTTGAACATCCATTCTGTAATGTCTTTGAATTTTACTCAACAGCAAATGTGCGGTCAGTATCCCTGACTCTGAGGGCAATAAAAAAAAGTTGAATATCACTATTCAGCATTAGCTATTCAAACGGGAGCTGCTTACGGGAGCTGCAGAGGGGTCTGCAACGCTCACATTATCACTTGCACCTACTGAACAGCATGATGATCTATAGCATTTTGTTTCTGCAAATGTTAGTAAAAGCCAACTTGATTTTGCAAAGCTTGTAGAAAGCAAAATCGAGTAGCAAGTTAGTATGGCTGAAAGTGAATGGATTTAAAATCTGCATATTTTGGATATGTGTTTCCTTGGTGCAGTCAGCAGGCTGGTCTGGGGACCCCACGGACACCCAGGGCTCCCACAGCACCCGCAGGAGGAGAGCACGTCTCTGCACAAATACCCTCCCGGCTGTGCAAGGACGTTGCACTCACTGGATGTCACCCCGTGCTAGGAAGCCACAGCTGGTACAATACACTGGGAGAAGAAGAAAGCGGAGAAAGGGAAGAGCTTGCTAATGTTTGCCCAGCCTGCAACGGGGGCCCATGCTGCTGGGTGCACAGACCCCCATTGCACTCTCCCATGAGCCAGAGACACTTTGGTGCAACTTTTAATTTCAGTATTTTGGGTGATTTATAATACCATTGCATACAGATATTTTAACTCTGTTTTAAAGATTAATCCAGATATCAGTGAAGTCACTGTAAGCTTTGCTATTAAATATCAAGAAGAAAGTAAAGATAAGCACTTATATTCCCATCTCACCTTTTTTCTTCTTTTTTCCCCAAAGCGTGTGACTTTGGAGAGAAAGCCCTACCTCAACATGCAGAACAGGAGAAGCCAAAATGCATCTATTTTTCAAGCATGAGTTAGGATAAGACTTGAAACTTGCATTGTAACTGGAGGGAGGAGAAAGGAGGACAGAAAGTCGCCTCTGCAAGTTATTCTGCAGCTTTGGCTTATAGCGTAATAAAGTCATTTTGCCAGCAGTTTTGTAAATGAGTGCAGAGAAAATGGTGTCCAGTTACAGACACTCTGGCAAGATAGCTCTTGGCAGATACTGCAAACAGCAAATTTGCTTTGGGACTCTGTTGTTCAGACTTTGTTAATGTTCTTGAGCTTCATTAATTGTCATCACATTTATTTTCCCCCATGTTAAAACATTTTCCACAGTGCTGCACTGCAACCAAGTCCTGAGTGCGTTTCTCAGGCAGGGGCAACAGAATTTCCCTAATCGCAACCCTTTCGTCCCAATTAGGGCCCAGCCTGAAAATCTTGCACCGGTTTGTCTGAACCGGTGAAACCAAACTGCAACTTAGTTTATACAAGCAAAAAATAATAAAAAAAAAAGTTACATTTGTGACTTATTTTAATGACTGCATTTAAAAAAAAAAAAAAATGAAACCAACCACTACATGCAACATATAATTTTGTTGCTATCATAATTAAGAGGTATTTACAAGGGCTCGCCAACCAGAAAACAGAATTTGTTACTGTAAAATTCCTACGTGCTGTACAGAATAAAATGAACTTGGTCTAAAACCATGCAGTCTGACCTTGCAAACCCTTAACTCATGTGAGCAGTCTCAATGAAATCCTATGAAATCCTTGCGATTACAGGCATGGAAATATACTTCTCAAGGAAGAAAAAAAAAAGAAAAAGAAATTTAAAAAATTCTCCTGGTAAGATAGTAAGGCACCATTTAAGTACAGGGAAAGGGAGCAAGGGGAAAAAAAAAAAAAACAAACAAACAAAACCAAACCAACATATTAGGAAAACAGAGAAAACCTTGGTCAAAATATTTTATTCTGAATATCCTGTCTCTCTCTAAGCTGTTCTCCACATTTCTTTTCAGTACAGAAATAGGCTCAAGCAGAAAGAAAACGTAACACGTACTTGATAAAAAGCAATTTTTAATTTTATCAAATTGATCTGTACAAAAGTTAGCATTGCTTAGTCAGAAGCTAGTGAAGAGAACAGATAAGTAACAGCCAAAGTCTTTCAAACTTTATACAGAAAAATAGATTGCATAAAAATGAGTTTTCTGTATTTTGCCCCACCCCCACATCCCCAAAAGGAAATATGCAAAAAATATTTTTAGAAAAAGAGTAGGAAACGTAGAAAAGGTAAAAAGATGATAACCTCTGAAATGTGTTTTTAGATTTACAAAGTTTTTAAAGGCACAAGTTACCATAAAATAGATGGTTATTATATGCTCAGCATACAATGGAAGAAGTAGAAATATATCAATGAAATATTAGTCTAAAACTAAGTACCTAAAAATTTTTTTTAGTGGAGAAGATTTTAGTTTCACAGCTTGATGGATGATATCTGGTCCCTAGAAGCCAAAATTAAATCAGAAGTTGATAATTTCTCATTAAATTACATCTTCCTATAAAGTAGTCCTGGTTCTGAAAGCGTACAAAGACTCCGCAATGCCTTAAAATCCAATTTTAACACCTGAAAGCAGGTAGCCAGAAAAACCGCCTGCTCCTTTTCACAATCATCGTTTTAGCCTCCCAATTTAATTAGTAACTTTCCCCCCCTCGTCATTTTACATTCCCGTTTGAGTTTCCTGTTGGTGACCAGGTTTGCGATGGGCAGATTCCTTCAGTCTCAAACACGACTGCTGCAGCGGTTCAAAACGAAAAAAACCCAAAAACCAACAAAAAATCTATAGACTCATAACACCATTTTATTGTATCATCTCCACTATTTTTATGCTCCCTCCCCACCCCATCTTTAAAAATCTTTTAAAATTCTACTTTTTGCACAAAATTACTTCATTAATTAAAAGACAAAATAATACAGAACATAAATACATATTTAACAGATTAAAAAAAAAAACCAAAACAAAACACTTTAAGCTTCCAAAAACAAAACAAAATGTTAATTACAGCCAAACCTTGCTTAGAAGAACTCTTGACTAAAAAAACAAACACTTCAGACATTTAATTGGTTGGTCCCACCAGACTCGTTTGTTCCCACAACATTGTTCCATGGAATAGCCGGGTTTTCGGGTTTCATCCGCGTTGGTCCGAGTGAGTTCTTGCCCTCAAGGTTGGTCCGTTCCTCACATTGCAACAGACCCTTAAAGTCTCAAACAGCTTTTTTTTTTTTCTTTCCCCCCCTTCCCACCCCCCTGCTCCACTTTTGCACTTGTCAACTTCCACGACGAGTAAGTTCAGTTCAGTCCTCACAGAGGAGTCGAATGGTTTTGTCCTTCATTTATTCAAAAGGAATTAACGGTCCTTTTTTTTTTTAATTCTTTTTTTATTTTTTTAAATTGTATTAATTAAAGAAAAATAGAGCTCTGTCCTTTTGGAGAGTTTTGAAGCAAGGGGACATCCAATCGCAACGAGCAGAGTTCCCAGTGGCTCAGGAGGCACTTCGGAAACTATCACGGCACTCCACACTCTTCGTCTTCATTCCTTCATTAGTGCATATGTCAGGGAAGCCCTTGGGGGCTCTGCGCATCCTTTAAGGCCTTGTCAGGGTCGTATAGACCGGCTGGTCCCAGTTAGCAGTGGGGCTGTGGGCCGGTGGGATGGACAAGCCGGTGAGGGTGGGGGGCGCATAGGGGCGGCGGGGGGAGGGGGAAA